GAATTCCCCAGCCAGCACACTGATTTGAGCAAATTGGTGAAAAATCCAAGGGGATAAAAAAGGAGAGAGGGAGAGGAAGCAAAAACAGGACGGAAGATTAAGTCCTGTCCACACCCATGTATAATTGGGGATGAATGTTAGATGTAGGTTAAAAAAAAAAAGTGTTGTATTAAGGACTCAACACTACCAGGTAAGCGGGAAAGTCAGTTGTTGTTCCCCCACCCCCATTTTGGAGAAATATAAAATCCAGAATCAAATATATTTCTCTTAACCAGTGTTTCACAACCTTGGCCACTTTAAGATGGGTGGACTTCAACTCCCAGAATTCCCCAGCCAGCATGGCTGGCTGGGGAATTCTGGGAGTTGAAGTCCACCCATCTTAAAGTGGCCAAGGTTGAGAAACTCTGTTCTTAACTATGCTTTGGTGTTAGAGTTGTGGAACTGAAGCATTCAAACAGCAAGTGAAAGAAACAGAGAGAAAGAGAAAAAAACACTTTTAAAGCAAAGAGTTCTCTGCAAATCTTTTGCTCCGCCCTGGATCAGAAGGAACAACTTCCGAAATTCACAACTGCATGGTCATCCCGGTTTTGGGCTTACGACAAAAAACAGAAGCTGACCTCACTGCCTTGCAAACGTCCTTAATATTTCTTCTTTGGGGAAAAACGGTCTGGAGCACCCCCGTTCCAAACGCTGATTTGGGCAAACAAGGTGGGTAGCTTTTAATTTTTAGTTCCAAGCATTTAAAGCAAACTAGTCAACCCCCTTGTGGACTTTTTGCTGGAAAAAAGGAAAAAAACCGAACTGATGAGGTATGGATTTGATGATTAGAAAGGGTTGATTATGGAAGGAAGGAAACTCTGATGTCACCTTAGAGAAAGAGGATAAAATATAAATGTATTTATAACTGTTGTTAAGAAGATCAGAACATATTTCTTTATTATTCTTTGCTTTCCCTTCTTTTCTATTTCTTTTTCACTTTTCTATTTCTCTTTAACTCAAAACCTGTATTGTTTTTACTCTGCGGAAAAACTTGTTTAATAAGAGAGAGAGTGAGTGTGTGCATTTAAGCAAACTATTAAAATTCAGGTGGGATACAGAACTTGGCAGACGCTAAGCAGACTTTCTGCAGACTTCCTTGTGCTCCTCGGCATCACGTTGCCTAGTCTTGATCTGTTCGTTTCTAACAGACAGGCAAACCCTTCTCATGTAAACCTTGTTATCTCAAACAATATATATACCCAACAGCAGAGCAGCTAGGAGCAGATGCTGAAAGAGGCCTGCTTTTCTAAAAAAAAAAGTACTGTTTTTGCTCATTTATACCCTCAGCTTTGTAACTACTGCTGCTTCCTGGTCTCCTGAAGGTTCTCCTGAAAGTTCAGTTCTCCTTAAAGTTCACCAAAGGCAAGACTCATCGTCAGAGCTGGTTGCAGACTTAAAGGTATGGAAGGGAGAAATGGAATATATATATATTCCAAGTGCAATTTGGCTTTTTTTCCCCCTTTTCAAATTGCAGCCACGCTATTCCACTCGCATGGATGCTTTGCTTTAAATGAGGCAGGGCTGGGCCTCTCAGTTGTTGCCAGGTCCTACTTCCCAAAGGTCCATATCTGTTGGCAGGCTGGCCGGCCCCACTGGAAACTATAGCTGAGGAACATTTGAGGAGACCAGCCATAGGTCCATTCAGACATGGGATTCCTCACAGAAGGATGTCTTCTATAATCTTCAGATTTTGTCTACAAACTAGGTCACATACCGCCTTGGCTTGTCCCCTGCAGAGAGCAAAATTTGAACAGAAGACCGCTTTTGCTAACGTAGCACATTCCTTTCTCAAAGCAGATTTAAGTCCTTCAATAACTACTATAAAACCCAGCAAATTCCAGGTGGGCAGGTTCTAACTATCCCCCTGCAAGTTTAATTTCTACTTTTTGTTTTAGCGGAGAGGAAGCAATCTGCAATGTAAATAGAGCACATGGCAAAGAGAGGAACAAAGTAGTATTAATATCACCAGATTAGCAGGAAAAGCTGGATATAAAAAGCTATTTTGTAGGTGGCCAATGGGTTTTGTACATCTTGGTATGACATGAGTAGATAGAACCTGCTTGCTGCATCAATATTCCTCCTCCAAGATTGTCAGGAATTTGCATCTCTTCTATTTCCCCGTTAAATCATGACTGGGAACAGCAGCTTAACTCAGGCTGGGGCCCAAATGTCAGACTTCTGGGAGGAGTCGTTCTAACATATTTTCAAGATACTAAATTAGGGAAGATCAGCTTATCAGCTTTGACCGCAATAGATTGATACAGCTATTTCTCTTGGAGGAGGAGGAAGAGGGAGAAGAAGAAGGAGAGTTCTTAGTTATAATCACTATCTATGTCATTCTAACCCCTATTTCTAAATCAATTCTATTTTTCTTTTTACCGTTGGAAGACCTGAAAGACCAGATTAGGGACAAATCATCACGGAAAAAAATCTATGTGGTTGCTAAGAGTTGACAATAACTCAATAACACATAAGCAATCAATATTTTTATCTTCTCAAACTTCTCCCCCCTTCATTTCCCTTTTCCTTCTCTTCCACACCCGTAATAACGGGGAAGAAAGGAAAGAAGGAAGGGAGGGAGGGAGGGAGGGAGATCTCTCAGGACCAGATGCCTTAGCCTTGAAATGGAATATGATGTCAGAAACTTACACAATCACAATATCGACCGTCTTTCTCATGCAACATGATGTTCAGACCCCATAAACGCATAAAGCAGCACAGACATATTTGGAAATGACACCTTACAGCCAAACTAAGTTCTTCCCTGCAAGACAGTCGCCTCCCAACCGTGTGCATCAAGAAAATCCACTTGATCCGCGCCTAAAGAAGGATTCCAGTGTTTATACATTGTGACTTCAGGAGAGCAAGACCAAAGGATACATCTGAAACTCAGGAAGTGTTCAGACAAAGGTAGAGATTTGACATCTTGGCTGCTTTTTGAAAGCTGTAGTCAGACTCTACAGAACAAGCCACAAAGTAGCCGCTGACATTTTAATCCAGAGTATTTTACAAACCCAGCCCATGTGCTCAGCTTAGTCTAGAGCAGTGTTTCTCAACCTTGGCCACTTGAAGATGCGTGGACTTCAACTCCCAGAATTCCCTAGCCACTGTTCTTAGCCAAAGATGAAACCCAAGATCCTTTGCATAGAAAAAAGATAAAGAGAATCTTCCACAACTTGAGCTCGGATTCTGGTGACTTCCAGGGAAAATCTATTCAGGTAGTCCTAGCTTAGCACTCACTCATTCAACAACCGTTCAAATTATGACCGTGCTGAACGAGTGGTACGTAAGACCAGTCCTCACACTTTCAGCCATCACAGTTTCCCCACAATCACATGATCAAAATTCAGGCACTCAGTGACCAGCCTGCATTTCCAACTGTTGCATAATCCCACGGTCACATAATTGCCATTGGCAACCTTCTTTGCCAGCTTCCAACAAGCAAAGTCAATGTGGAAGCCAGCAGGAAGTTGCAAGACCCAGTCATGTGAAGTCCCTGCTTAACAACCCACATGGTCCTTGCTCAATGACCACCACAAAAATGCCTTTGTAAGTCATTGTGGTCATGTAGGGTCCTCAGTTACCAGGTCACTTAGGGACAGAGTTTCCAGTTCCAATAAGGGTTGTTAACTGAGGACTACCTGTAGTTTTCTTGGCCACAATACAGAACCAACTACCCACATTATTTTCTTCCTGAATTTTTATTTCACCTTCTCAATCTAGCCTGTAGCTTAGACATTTCCTGGTGGTTTCCCATTTGATATTAACAAGGTCAGACTCTGATTAGACTTGAGTCCAGAAAAGGCCAATCAGGTACCTCCACCTGCTGAGATAAGATAAAATTTCCTTCAAAGCAAGCTTGACTCCTGGTAGCCTCATGGAACACCCACGCAACCTTCTTGCAGTCCGTTCCTGCCTTCTGCTGAGATGTTGCTTGACTCCCTAGACTAGTTTATATTCCTGATAATTCCCAGTGGTCTTCCATCCAAATATTAAACCCTTCCAACCCTGCTTAGCTTCCAAGCTCAGCCAAAGTCCACATGATGTTATCTCCTGCAGAGAGTATTACTGCTTCCTAAAAGATCACATAGATTTTCCAATTCTTAGATATTGGACATCTCAAATGATTTCAAGATACATGATCATTTCCCAACTCACTTAAGTTACAGAAGTAGAAGAGAAACCAATTCAAATGTTGCACATGCACACTCTCTCTCTTTCTCACATACACACACATACACAAGACCTACAGCCAGAATCATCCATTTATTATCATCTGATCTTAGCCATTTATTTAGTCTGTACCACTGTGGATGATAGTGGCTGAGATGCCTAATTAGGTATCCAGACAAAAATGTCTCACATCTGGCACCAGACCTATCTAAAAGCATCAGAAGTTCATTCAAATCACCAAACACTTTCTTCTTGCTTAACAGACATAATGGAATAACTAATTTCTCCCCAAGGGGGGAAAAATATGGAAGAATAATAGGACACTTTGCACATTCTACTACCCTTGATGGAATAGTTAGTGAAGTCAGAAAGACTTCCAGGCTGACTTTGTCCAAATCTTGGCTTAGCAGGTCATTTTGAAAACAGGGACTATGGTTTAAAATTAAACAGGGCTTGTTATAACAAGCTAGATTGAGAAAATATGACCGAAGACCCCCAAACCTGGGCCAATTGTCCCCTAAATTGAGATATGCTTGTCCTCCTAACCAAATGCAACAGGAGTAAGTTTGGCATCTGCCTAGCAAACAGATACCTACTCCCTTTATCTCTGTTCATCTCTTTTTAAAGAGCCATGAATTTTCAAGAAAGGGGCTTAGAATAACCCAAGGGGTCCATTAACATCATGAAACTCCTCACAAATGAGGATGTGGGAGAAATAGGAAGGGTGTCTTCCAAGCCGTGGACCCATTTCAGGTCCCTCTGATCCACATGTATAAAAAGAAACCGACCTCCATTTCTGATTGCAGAAATCCCTCGACTGAAGTCTTCAAAGCTGATCACACCAAGCCCGGTAGGGTCCAAAAACTTGATCAAATCCTTCACCTACAAACAGAGACACAAATCAGAGTCACTACTGGACAGGCACAGAAAGGGCCATTCTTTGATTTCGTATCTTGGCTTCCCAACATAACCAGCAGGATCAGACCAAAATTGTCTTCTCACCTGAAATCAAAGATACTCAAGACAGTCAATTCTGTTGCAGCATGTGTCACTTTTATCCCATCTTGCAAGTAAAAGGAATACTGTACCACAGTAATTTACCTATTGAGGTTCCTGTCCTTTCTCAAGATGGCCACCTGTAATGGGCTGTGAGAATAACCTTGGGAGGCAGGAGGAAGAGCCGCAGCCAGGATAACGGTCAGATAAGAGATATCTCAGCCCACAGCAGGAATGGAAGTGGAGAAAGCATCTTAGACTCGACCCTCCCTAGTTCTCTGAGGGAAGAAGGCTTTTCAGACTTGCCAGATTCTGTTACTGTAACCATACAATTAAGGTAATATTGGGATTCTTGGTTTTGTTTCCTGGTCTGGACTACTTTGAGGCGCTGACATCAATCTTGCAAGTCTGAAAGCACTCACCCCCTCCCCTGCCTTTACATTCCAGAGAACTAGGGAGGGTCCCTTCTGAGACGCTTTCTCCACTCCCATTTCTGCTGTGGGCTGAGATATCTCTTATCTGACTGTTATCCTGGCTGCATCTCTTCCTCCTGTCTCCCAAGGTTATTCTCACAGCCCATTACACCACCTCACTCCGCCAAATGGGCCAGGATGAAAGGGTCCCTTTTCATATTTATTGATCAATGCCATATTCTCCCCTATTTCTGCCTTGCCATGAATGTTTCTTGCCAGTCCAGATCACCAAACTTTGGCTGGAACTGGGCATCATGCAAAAACTGAACCTTTAATTTTGGCCAGTGAGAGTTGGGTAAGCCCAGCCGTGAATTAAAAAAAAATTGTAGCACCTCAAAGACAGACATTATTACGGTCTCAGGGTTTATGGATTACTGACCGCTTAAGAAAATATGATGCTATAATAAATGGGTTGATATCCAAACCTTCTTGGTAATTTTTGCTGTAACAGTTAGCACTCTGAAAATTGTGCTAACTGCCCAATTTGCTGTAGCAAAATACAGGTAGTCCCCGGGTTAAAAACGCCTGGTTTATGGACGGCCCATAGTTAACAACAGAGCCTACTGTAGCAAAATTCGAGTTAAATACACAATGGTTCGAGTTCATTACACAATACTACTTATACGGTATTATACAGTAATACTGGTCCAGCTTACATACATATTCAACTTAAGGACAGACCTCGGGAATGGAGCTCATTCTTAAACTGAGGACTACCTGTATTGAAAAACCAAAAGCCCTTTTTATTTGATTCAACAGAAATTGAAAACTGTGGGAAAGAGGGTTGGAAATATTTTAGAAGAAGTTTTCAGTTGAGCATCGTTTTACAGTAAGACCCCAATTTCGAAGACTTCCCATGCTGTCGACAAAAATTTAGTTCAAACTTCATCCCTGCACAACAATGTTCATTTTTCTGAAACAGTCCCAACAATTGGCATAAATTGTGCCTGCAGTTCATAAATGATGTAAATTAATACAAATGGCTGTAAATTACACCAATTACCTAATCACGTGCATGACATCCATTTACACAAATGACTTAAATTACATCAATTCAAATGTAAAAGACACTCCGATCCAAAAGACACCGCCCTTCCCTCCAATTAGTCCATAAAATCAAGGATCTGCTGAAATCAAATGGGTCTCTCTCTTTTTTAGCTATTTTAATAAACTATATAAATGTTGAAGTCCAGACATCTTCAAGTTGCCGAGGTTGAGAAACACTATTTTCAAATGACTACCCAATAATCAGAGCAGTGTTCTCATACTGTACTAAACCATCATTGGGTTCATTCTGTGAACCCCAGGCCATGGGGTTTATAAACCCTGATTCATGGCTTAGCATGTTGTGTGAACCCAGTCAAGTTTGACTTAGTCAAAAAAAAATAGATGATTACAAGGAAGGCAGGTTAATAATCACAGGCACAGTGTGACTATAAAGATGCCCTACAGAGAACCTCACTTTAGCCACGAATTAAAAAGGGTGGATTATGCCTTCCTTAGTAATTGGGGAATCATCTTGATCAATTATTATATGGATTACTGCAGCTAACAGCTGCAAAGCTTTGAACCACATTACATAAACGGTGAGAAATCATCAAACGATGAAGCTGAGAAAGTTTTTCCCGTTTCTTAGCAAGCATTTTCATTATAATGTCCCTTAAAAATATTTTGATTGCCGTTGCTTTACTGCAAGAATAGGCAATTTGCCAGGATTCCCCAATTATAGGGACTTTATATTAAAAAGAAAAAAAAAACCTTGAGGCTGCAGCTGTAGATAATAACACTTTTATAATACTGCAGCAATTAGTGGGGAGGGGAAAAATGGAGAAGGGGAAAAATCACAGGTTAGCAAGGATGGGGAGACCGGGAGAGAAAGATGAACTGCAGAAAGAGAGATAATTAGCTTTTTAAAATATTCCAATTCTGCATAATGGGGCAAAAGAGAGCCAAGAGCCTCCTACATAGGCCAAACAAATAAATGGGAAAGATGCAATGTTTTAATTCAGCCTTCCCCAATCTGGGGACGGTGGGCTTTTCCCCACTTGTACTGAACAATGTGGCACAACGACACACTTTTTCCTTCATGTCATCCTTAGCCACAATTGAGACCAGCTTCACTCACTCTTCCCCGTACTGGTTTTAGAAGAGTGTTTTCCTCTTATTCTAACACCAACCAAGGGCACCTCAAGGTGTGTTAAATCAGTTAGGGTTCGTCACGTGGGAAGGAGGTGAGGGGACTGGTAAAGTCCAGGAACAGGGGCAATAGAGGCAGGAATGGGGACGATCAACCAAATTGACCCATTTTCTTTCCTTGACTTGCTTCTCATTTTGGTTTCAGAGAACAGACCCTGAACATTGGCAAGCCAACTTTCATTTCCAACTGCTTCCTTGTCTTCGATCCCCAGATGAAGGTGGACTACAAGATACGTAGCATGGTCGTGGATGAGGGGAGCTGAAATCCAATTGGGGATTCAAGGCTGGGAAAAGCCCAGTTTAGATCCTGTTCTTTCATTGTTTCAGTTGTCAGCAACATGGATACGGCCTCCCAAGGGCAGTTGGGCCATTTCAAAACGGTGCTTTTAAATCTGCACATCCAAGAAATCTCCTCAACCCAAGTAGAAATCACAGCTTTTTCTTCGTTTGGATGATCTCATTTGGTTCCCAAACCAAGCATGCTTTCAGAACAGGAATAGGCAGTTCCCCACCCAACCCAACCCTGCCCAGAGAAGGACTATAATTTAATTGCAAAAAGAAGGGTATATAGGAGTGAAATGGGAATGTCACAGGATGTTAAGAGAACAATAATTTTCTCTTTCTTTGTTCTTGTTCCACTTGGAGGAGGGTTCTAGCAAAAAGCTCAACATGGACCTAATTTGCTCTTATTTTGTTGAAGAAACCTAGGAAGTGGGGCACAATCTGGAAGGGGCCCTGGAGGGCCACAGACAGCTGTTCAGCGACTCATCCCTGTATTTGTGGAGAGAAAGTTGTACCTGCATTTCCAGGAGTGTAGGACAAGCTCCCCCTACCCCACCTTTATGATCAGCCTCCAAGGATAAAGAGTGGAGCGAAAAATTGTGGTGCTTTTTTGCATCTTAGAAGAAGATATCAAGGACAAAGTTGATGCCTTAAGACTTGCAGATCCTTAAAGCACCCATCTGACCCCTAACATTCTTGAGCCACCTTCTCCAAACAGACCCTGATCTTGTCCCCTTTTGGAGGGAGTGCGGCCTTCAACAGGTCATGCAAAGACTTGGCAAGGCCATCAAGGGCACGGAAGTTGTATCCCTTTTTTACTACATGTATTAATTGTCTCTGTGATGACACACTGAACAAAAATCACCCAAAGTGACAAGGTGACTCATTTCAACCTTCACAAATGCTGTTTGACACAGCATCTTTTCCACCATGCAAACAGAAAGCATCAGCGGAAGACCAGGTTGACCACATAACTCATTACATAGTACATCAGCTGGAAAAAAAGGGGGGGGTGTACAGATTTTACTGTTCTTTTGATTCTCCTGTGGAAAGTTTTGCTTTAAAAAAGCAAGATCCAAACACATATCTTCAAATCAGGAAATTGGTGGTGGTTTTCAAGATGACGCACCTCCCAAATAACAGCATACCAAAAATGTAATATATATATATATATACAAAACAACACAAATGAACACAATAACAGACTACAATTAGTCAGGGCCCCATTTATGTGCTGACTCCTCTAAAGAAAAAGATGTAAGATGAATTCTGTCAGTAACAATATTAGCAAGAGGGCGATTAAGCAGTAAATTCATGGCGTGAGGTCATGGCTGAGATTTGGTTTTAATCTGAGGTTGTCCAACTCCCTACCGTGTTCATACAGCTTGTTCAAACAAGCTACAACAGAGCTTGTTTGGTTTTGAGTTATCGTGTGATGCAGAGCCCAGCCACAGTGGTGCAACACCATATTTTAGGGTTCTATGGGCAGTGGGAACCCTGCCCATGGCTGTTTATTCAATCAACCATGGTTAAAGCATGACTTAGTGCAAGAAGATCACCAAGTCTCTTTTATGATAACACAAGAGCACCAAAGAAAGAGGAAGGAAGAAAAAAAAAGAGATGCCTTCCAGTGAAATGCTGGACATAATGAAAACCAAGTCCTAAGAGATGTTATTATGTGTGTTCAAAAGCAAGTCTATTAGCAAAATTAACGTCATGCTTGTACATTAACAACACCCATAGGGTGGCTCAGCCCCTAATAAGATGTCATGAAGCTTACCCAAGCTTTATCCTAAAACACTCTTCTCGGATAGCAGGAAAAACTCCCTGGATGGGCACAATCTTTTGTTTAAGCCTGCTAACAGCGCAGATTGAAATCCACTGCAACCGCCAGGCAGGAAGGAATCCATCCAAGACTGAATTTTCATGCAGCTA